ATAAAATTGAATTGAACTGAAATTGAATGACAGAGAAACTTAGAAGGGGTTGACTGGCAACAACACCCTGCCAAATCTGAGCTTGTGCTGAACCATGTGATGTTTTGTTATTGGTTGTTCGGGCTATTTATTAACTCTCCATTACAAACAACCATTTTCAGGCATAATATTGTGTCTACCTGGTGCAAGAAAGCATTTTCTTAGAAATTTATGATAGTTTGTAGTAATATCAAACCCTAAATTTTTTACGCAGCTGCTCGTAGGTGTGCTTGAAGGCCATCATGGCTGTAAGATTATGTTGGTGGACACTTGTGGTAAGGATGCTGTCAAGCCAAAGAAGGGGACTATTACACTTATTTAGTCTAAGGCGACTTGTCTAAGGGGTTTTAGGTAGCCTGAAGTGTGGCTTCTTTATGGGTACAAATGTATGGAAAATGAAAAGGTTGCGTACGCTGGTTTTCACGCAGTGTTCAATGTATAAAAATGAACATCGCTTAAGAATGTGCGCATTATGGTGCAAAGTTTTGTCTGGATCTGGAACTTTGGAGTTCAGTTACTTTGATATGTCTATGAAAAAACATAATTATGTCCACTGGTACGCCATGATAGTTTTCTGTATGACATCAGGAAAGACCAAAACCCATATGTAAAATGGTCTTTATTATTCATTTTTTATTTAACAAATTCTCATGAATATGAGGGCATCAAATGAATGAAGAATTAACTTAGGAAATACATATGCAGCCTTCTGTATATCGCTGTATTGTGCGCCCTCTGGCTTATTTCCTACAGATGAAAAACCTTACTCACTGTGCCAACAACAAGGTCACCACAGAAAACTGCATTGTTCTCTGTTTATGTGACATGAAGATGTTAACGCCCATCAGAAACTATACAGTTGCTGAGGTGCACACACATGGGAGGTGGGCAAACTCACTCAGTGACTGTGATACGTAATTGATCCCGTGATCATTAAGTGAACAAGGTGTAGCAAATTAGGTTACCTACTGATAAGCAATGGTGGCTGCTGGAGGACATCACTAATGGTAGAGTTCGGAGGGAGTGTCTGTTTAGGGACCACGCTGATTTATTGGCCCAAGATGACATCTGGCTTATGAGCCAGTTCAGACTGCCAAGAGCTATCCTGTAGGAACTCTGTGCTGAGCTGTGGCCGGCTTTGGAAAGAGAGACAGCAAGGAACCATGCCTTACCAGTTCCGCTGCAAGTCCTCACCACACTTGGTTTCCTTGCAACAGGGGCTTTCCAGAGAGAGCTGGCTGACCAGCCAGGTATTTCTCAATCATCCCTGAGCCCTGCTATGCCTGCCATGTGGAACTGTCTCATCCGTATGTCACCCAGGTACATAAAATTTCTCTACACTGTGGGTGAGCAGGCCAACATTAAAGTGCAATTTGCAGCGATGAACCGATTTCCAAATCTAATCGGAATGATTGACTGCACACATATTGCTATAAAGGCACCATCTGAGGATGAATTTGCTTATGTCAACAGAAAGTGGCTTGGCTCTACTAATTATTCATTTATACAGAGGAGTAGTATTGTAGGGAAAAGACTTGGGGCTATGCAGGATGGCTGACTTTTTGGTAGGATATGTATTATTATTAGACAGTAAAATAAACCAATAATGATGATGCTGTTGTCACCTGAGTATGTGGTTAATATGAACCTTAGGTGACTGTGGTTACCCACTGAAAACCCAGCTCCTTACTACGCTGACCAATCCCCAGACTGAGCAAGAGTGGGGGTACAATGATGTCCATGCTTAGGCTCTGTCTGTGGTGGAATGGACCATAGGGCAATTGAAAGTCTGTGGGTGCTGCTTGGACAGCACTGGTCGCATGCTTCTGTACAGTCCGCAGAAGGTTTGCTGCCTTGTGCAGGCATGCAGTGTACTGCACAATGTGCTAAACAAACGAGCCTCTGCCACAGGATCGATGAACCGGACCTGAGACCACCAAACATTGAGCCGAATGCAGCAGCCATACAGCACTGTTAGGATGTCCTCTTGAGTCACATTGCCCTGCGGCGATGTGTCCCTTGTACTGGACTCCCCAGTTTCCACAATCTGTCACAATAAATGGCATTACATTGTGTAACTCAGTGAGTCCAGTCTGCTTATTGTACCTAAATTGGATTGAAACATTGTATGTATGTAACATGTATGGTTTGTTTAACTAGTCAGTAAATTTAGCAGCAAGGTTTGAGTCATGATGTGTTTCAGGTACTTATCAGAACACACATCTGAGTCACTCTCACATGCTGGCAGGATGCCAGAGATGAGGGTTTCGCCGATTATTCCAGCCACCCTTGCCACTTCCTGTGGCGTGAGTGCTGGCTTTCCTGAGCCCCCTACTTTAGCAGCCACACTCTGCCGATGTGACATCACTCACCTTTTAATATATCTACCTTGAGATCCGAGCATTTCTTTTTTAATTTCAGCCATGGTACGGTTCTCTGAAACAACTGCATTGACTGCCTTAGTAACACATTGCCTCTTCCTCTTATTGCTGATACTAAATGACAAACCATCAAATAAAACATTTCCTTGTGGCCTCCACCTTGGTGATCAGCACCTTGATCTCACACAAAACCTTGTTTTAAAAACAAGATTAGCCACTGTGATTTGGACAGCAGATGACAGCAGGGGCGTATTTATATTCATTTTCATAGTAATTAATAGGAGGAGGAAAGGCAGGGTATGTCTCTCGTTCACGTACTGTCAATTTAATGTTGATTGGGATGTTTAAAGTAAAGGTGCGCTGGATCTGGCGTACGCCTATGTGGAAATTTCTATGCGTACATACTTTTCAAGTTTTGTGGGTACGCCTTCTTTCAGTATGAAAGCTGCACACTATTTTATACATGAGGCCCCTGGACTATGAGGAGTTGGAGGATTTAGAGGAAGTCTCACTCATGTCTTTCATGGATATAGGAAAAAAGTGGCACATTGGCAAATTGAGGGATTGAGATTTTTCGTAAATCTTAAAGGCTCAACATAGATTTTGGCAGTCTTGGTTGATTGGCTACATCTACATCAATGTGGAATCAGAGAATGTGTCTGAACTGGCAGAAGAGGGTGGTGGTTCCCATATTTGAAATAAAGGGCTGGAGGTTGTGCTCCATTTATGAGGGTTTCACACTATCAGCCAGGCAACAAGTGATAAGCTATTGATTCAAATTAGTTCAAAGAGTGGGTCCAAGAATAGTTTTTTTAAAATCACATGGTAGTGCAAAATATTTTTTAAATTTTTTAACAATTTCTATTATTATAACTAGAAAGTAATCAGAGAGTGCATTACTTTATCAAGGTTGCACCATCCTGTCCCAACTCACCTCACAATTCTGTGACATTGCTCCTGGTCTCAGCTTGCAATTTATTGCAACCCAATTGACTTGATCCTTTTTCTGACCACATTTTTATGAGTTCAGTGTTTCCCATTACCATATAAAGACCTTTCATTAAACATTATGTTGTGGCCATGTTTGCATCTGCCCCAAACAACAATGACTGAGCAAATATCAGCAATACCACATCCTCCCCTGGGTGTCTACAATTCCCACTGCAAATGTTATTTTGTTTGAGGGGGTGAATTTTGTTACCTACTCCTGAACAACAGCTGGGTCGAGTTAACCAGGGAAGCATACTTAGTCTCAACGTGGTGGGAGTGGTGGATGCTTCCGTTCTTTTATGTTCTCTTTGGTCAGAGAAGAACATGGTTTTAGTGAATACAGAAGGATCCCTGTTAAGAGGCAGTATATGTTAAACTTAAAGAACACATTGACTGCTCTGTGTAGATTTTGAGGGGAATTTAGCTAACAGACAGATCTTGCCTGAGATCATTAAAAGCGTTCATATTAATCACTCTGACATATCATGCAT